CCCTCAGCCAGGGTCAACCCACCACAAGTAGATACTGCCCCAACAGCGTAACTTAAATAACTGAGGCCTCATCTACACAGGAAAATGTGTAGATATCCACTCACGTGTGGATCATGAAATTTACTTTTACTGGTACAGCAGTGTTACAACAGATTTCCATGTGGACGGAGTCGCCTCGCTCTGAAGGCTCTGTACTGCATTCATGCATTCTTGTTTCTGTGCAGGAGGGAGATAGATAGTCACGAGCATTTGTATTACGCCCCGAATGCCCTCCATGAAAATATTACAAAGGGTTGGGTCAAGCAGTGTAACGGTACTGTATCACTGTAGTTAAAGGCAGGACTTTTGTGTGTGGACAAGGCCTGTGAAAAGATTAACCTAGAGAAAGTTAATAAAAAGTGCTGTCCTAAATTATTCATGAATCCATTTGTAATGCACTTGCTGGGAGGCTTTTGTTTTTCTCAAACTCTTATTTATTAAAATCTGACAAGAATATCGGGTTTTGTTCAATAATAAATCTAAGTCTATGTGTGGCTGGTGATATCCTCATGTAGCAATACAGAATCAAAATGAAGTTACATGGCAGGGATGAATATGTTATTTACTTGGGAAGAATAGATTATTGTTCAGGAGGATTTTATCTTTTACTTGCCATTTTGGAACAAGTAAAAAAAATAAAAATCTAGTTGCAAGAAATACTCTTGGTTTGTGACTGAGGCCTTGATCCTGCGAAGGATTTTAAAAATGTTAAAACTCAGTTAAGCATATTTCTGGTGGCTTTGCTGGTTCTGGATTTGTGTTTCCTAAATGAAATAGCTCAGATGATCTTGTTTCATGCTTAGCTGTTCTTGTCCTTTTTCCTTAACTTCAGGGGAAGATCATGGAAGTCATGCTTCTAGCCTGTGGATTTTGACTTCCAAAGAATGTCAATACACACCCTTCTCTTCTTGTGTCCTAGAAAAGGTTAGAAAGATTATATACAGCAAGTAAAAGAATGAAAAAAAGCTAGGGAGAAGGCTTTTACTGTTTGGGATACAATAAAAGATGTTAGTCTGCGTATGCTTTACAGCAGGCATTCCTTAAAAGCAGACAGAACTTTGTTTAAAAAGCAATTTAAGATTTTTTTGTCACTATTTTTAGTTTATTAATTTTAGGATATTTTTTCCCTTTTCCTCTTTCTCTTTTTCTGCCCTTATTTATAACTGGACAAGGAAAGGAAAAATAGATACCTATAGATAGAAAGTTAGAGAAGAGTAAATAAAAAAGAAAGATCTTAGCTGTGGAAGCAGAACTGGGAGTTCGGGTGACTGGTCTGAGTTGGAGGATGATGAATAGATTTGTTTGCATAAGCTTGGCTTGTGAGTCACTTTCTCATAAAAGCAGCTTGAGTAGGAGATGCTCCTGTCCCAAATTTTAGTCCTGAATGCTTTCAAGCACAATGTGCACTGTGACATAAGGGCTCCGACTGTGAGTAATGTCCTGTTATTCCAGTGGACTGGAGCTGGAGCTCTGCAGCTTTCCAAGTTTGAAATAAACTAGCAGTGTCTCTCTCTCTCTCTCACACACGTGTGCTTTGCATGATGTATTGTGTGGTACCTCTTGGTGGTCAGGGTTAAGCTGTCTGGGTAGACATAATCAGCTTCTGATTCAGATTTGAAATCTGGTGTTAGGGATTTGGTCCCTATGAAAAGCTGTGTGTTGGAGGACCATCAGGCACTAACCATTAAGTGAGACAAGGAACTTGATAAACTTGGAGAGGGGAAGAGAAAAGCAAGGTGTGAGTGTGAGAGGTCAGTATTCATGGCTGATCATCCCAGGTAGGTTTGGAGCGATACAGGTCTTCACCTTGGGAGCTTGCTTTGCCTCTCTAATGCCACAGAAATTGTACAAAGTACGTGCAGAAGGGCATTATCCTCTTTTGCCGAAGACCGTGGTGAAAGCACTCTTTAAAATGAGGTCTCAGCTTTTTCTTATGCACCTATTAGGATTCTGAAGAAAAGTTAGACTGTTAACAGACAGCTCCTTTGCTGTGGTTTAGAAAACTGGGAGAGGTGAAAAAGGTTTATTTTAATAGAACGTACAACCTGTATCTAAGGTTCAAGTGGAGTCTGCGGGTTGGATTTGGGAAATAACAGTTCCCTCTTGAAACTCACTAGAGAAGAAAAGAAGATCTCTTTCTACCTGAAAAAAGTTATTTTCTTGTTCTCTGCCATTTGTTTGTTATGAGTTTTGGTGGTACCGGGGGTCAAGGTGGACTGTGAAACCCTGCTTTGGAATCAAGATATTTGACTTGTTTACCCCCAGTGAAATCAGTGCTGCTGCAGCTTCATTGCCATGGGAACCTCCAGTTACTAAATTTAATTCAGCCCAGGGTTTGCTTGTCTGTTCTGTTGCTGCAGTGTAGACAGGTGATAAGCAATGTATTGATGCTAAGCTATATCATACAAAAATGATTAGGCGTCAATATTACTATGGTATTGCAGCATCTGTGGTATTGCTCTTGTGTTCTGCTCTGAGTTGCCGGGCCCTCCTGTGCCTGCCTCCAGCCTCCTCTTCCTCTCTCATGGCAGAGGAACGGCAGCACCGCCTGCATAGTCTTTCTGGTCTAGCAGTCAGCAAAGGTGGGGACTGTAGGCAACCTCTGCTTGCTGGTGGTACTCCCTCCTTCCCCTGCAGAGCAGCCAAGCACAGAGCGCCCATGGGCCTTGGGGGGAATGCTGCTGGAGAAGGGACCTCTGCGCCGCTCAGAGCTGTGGGGTTGGGGTGGGTCCCAGTACCTCTGCGGCATCCACAATGGTGTGAAGTCCCCCAAGGACAGACCCTGGCTCCACAGGATCAGATTAAATCAGGAACAGGGAGATGGAGGTTATACAAACAGAGAGTGAGAGACCCCTGTTCACCCAGTCTTCTTCTAAGGGTTTATTAATTCCTTTAAACTTGGTGAACCTTTGTTTGTTTGTTTGTTTGTTTTCTTTTTTTCCCCCTCATTGGTGTTGTGTGAGGTTCTGATGGTATCTGTTAGAGGGTTATATTCGTGGTAACATGGAGCCTGGGGTCTGAGATGCGTTCAGTTCCAGTGCTAGTAGAAGTGGTGGCAGTGTGCCTTTACTGCAGCCACTCTGGGGGACTTCTGGAAAGGCTCACTGTAGAGAGGGCTTTACTGTGGAAAGACATTTCATGTGGCTGACTGCAGGATTATCAATTTTGTAGGTCTTTCATGAATGTTTGGGTTGTTGGTTACTAATGTTTTGCTCCTCTGTAGTTTGGTTTAGTGGTGCTACATCACTTTGTACAGAATTCACAGTGAGCACTCAGTGTGTAAACCTGTACATTAAAATGTTGGCTGAGTATTGATAAATCAGTAAAAGGTTTTAAGCTGTTTCCTTTAAATTCCAGGACCATGCAGCTTAATTTAATAGTTGAGAGGGATGGGGAAAAATACTGATTTACCCAAGGGAATATATTTTCTGTGATATTTGTTCATGGCAAGTGTTTTTAAGCCAACAGAGGTATTTTAGGGAAAGTGACTGTTCTCTGGTTGACATTATCTGCTAAAATGACTCTCTCTTTCTTTGTAGGTATTATATTGGTCGCCAGATGTTTGTGGTGGTCTCCACACCAGAGATGATCAAGCAAATCTTAGTGACAGACTTCAGTAACTTCACCAACAGAACTGTAAGTAGATAGAAAGGTTGGCTTTGTGGAGGGAGGTGGTAGTACTCCTCTTTTGAGCTCAGACCAAAAGTGACTGCACGGGAGCTGGAAATAGAGAGAGGAAGAAGTACAACTTGGTTCAATGAAACTTGAAGGTATACAAGCTCAATATATACATTTCAGTCAAAAACTCCTCTCACTAGGACACTCTGAGGATGAAACAGAATGTCCTTAAAAGAGATACAGTGCTCTTGTGACCAAGGCACCAGATGGATGCTGAAGAGAGAGGCTTTCAATATCCAGTTTTGCCACTGACCTCCTGTGAAATCCTGGGAAAATCACTTACTAGCTCTCTTCTTTGGTTCTCAATCCGTAACATGAAGACAGTGTTATTTGCTTTCTCCCACTCATGGTCTGTTTTGTGTTTTTAGACTTTCAAAGGCAGGCACAGGCTGCTTGGGACAGGGATGTGCCTCCTGCAGCTAACGTGTGTTGCTTTGTCATAATTACCATAAAATAACAAATAGCAAAGAATGAATTTGGGGTTAGCAAGGACTTACGCATATGCTGTTGGTTACGTATTTTACTTACCTATATACACACACATACATATACATAAAAGCTCTTCTTCGAGTACTGGTTAGAACAAATAATGAGAGGGGAATGGCCAGAAGGATAGTAAAGATTTCCAGCAGCTCCTCATCATTTCACAAGGAAATATTGTCACTGTGACCGCACGCTTGCCTCAGTGCCATCCATTCCCTGCTTCCTCCTGGCATCTTTGTATGCTCGAACCTGCTCAAATAAACTCAGATGTATTTGGGAGGGTTGTTTTTGCCCTCAGGGAAAATTTCATCTCTGATCAGCTGTCTGTTTCCTCCGTCCCTTGGATCCTCTCTGCAACCAGACAGTCTGTTTGCAGACTGCTTGTCTCCTTTGCTCGCTTCTTTTGGTACATGAGGTTCATCTTGTGACTACCTGTACCTTATTTAGTAACCACTTGTACCAGTCACCCTCCGTTCTGCCTGTAGCTCACATCTGAATGGAAGAATCCCAGTGTGCAAGCTTCTTAGGCTGAAGTTGTGTGTGGCAAGGGTCTTTCCTCCATTTTCTCTTCATTTGAAGGAATTTCCCAGCCCTTCCCTTCTACTCCCAATCAGGAACCCTATTTCTTCCTGTCTATAACTTTCCCATGCTTTTCTCCAGTATGTTTGATAGGAGTAGACTGTACTCACTATTCACTCCCTGAAATTAGTGAGTGTTCCTTTGAGGGTACATTCAGATATTTGTTCTGCTCTGAATTTTAGTCAGCATCGTCAATTGAATATACCTATCTGTGCATTCTCACCCTTCTTATTTGGTGATTTTTTTTCTTTCTCTCCAGGCTTTTATGGTCAGAGGTTTATCTTTCTTTCTTGTGGTTATATATCCATCTGTCATGATCTGTAACATTTGTGTTCCTCTCTAAAATTCAGGTAGGTTAGGTCACTATAGCCAGTCTCTCTCTCTCTCTCCCCCCCCCCCCCCCCCCTTTTTTTTTTTTCTTCATCAGGGATCTGTTAGATATACCTGTCTGTGTAGGTTTGTATCTCACCCTTATCACTTGGCTTTCCCCTGAACCATTTTTGGCTTTTCTGCACAACATCCTGCTTTGTGGATGAGGAACTGAGGCACAGATGGCGTGACATCCCCACCACTAACCAGAAAGCCTGTGCCAGATGAGTAAATTTAACTCCTACACTCTCTCTAACAAAGTGAACAGTTTCCCCCCCTGTGCACTGTTGCTGTTTCTGGCTTGCTTAATGCCCATGAGTCTAATTCAAATGAACTTGCTTTATCTTCTATGCTTTTATCTGCTTCTTCCATGGTCTCCTCAGACAGCTGCAATCTCTGAGTGTTGTTATTTCTCACTTTCCACTTTGTTCCCCCTCTTCCACCCATTGTTTTTCACTTACTGAGGATAAGCAGCCTTCTGTTTCTGGGTCATGCCACATCTAACTTGGGGATCATTTTCCCTTCTTGAATTTTCACACTGGAAGCTGCCTCTCCTCTTTAATTCACAATCAGCTCTCTTGATGAAGTGTTTGGCTGTCCTGTATACTAAGGAATCTATATGAAAATAACTAATGCTGGATGGTATGTAATGAAGGCCAGTGGAATTTATTCAGATGTGATTTGGGTTGTATGTGAATAATGGTTGAAAGGTAAGAGTGAGAAAAGCCCTTTCCAAGCAGTAGAATTCTTCTCATAATGACTGAATAACTGTCAATTATTAAGTGTTTTAAGACTTTTAATACAGTGGTTTCTATCTTTTAAGATTACTCAAAGCAAGTTCCTCGACTTTAACTGAGGGTTTATATTTGCTGGTGGAGAATTCAAAATGCAAAATAGATCTGCCTACTGTATTTTATCCATTCCTTCTCCACATGGTCTACTGATGAGTGGTCATAGATTAGACTTTGGAGTTAGTGCTTTTCAGAAAGCTAGGCTAGTATCTTTCAGTCCAGACATGGCATACACTTGTTATTTCAATGCAAAGCCTTTTTTTAACTTAAGACTGTCAGTCTTCAAGGGTGAAGAAGCATGGGAAAGGGGGTGAGACCGGGGGGTTTGAACCAGCCTTCGTAAAACACACTGTGCTTTTCTTTTCTTCCTCCAATATATTTCCAAAATCAAGATTTGCACCTCATCCATCAGAGGTGAAATGTGAGTTATCTAACTCAGAATGCCACAAAGAGAGATTATTCACCAGACTCTGTAGCAGTTGTAGCAATCATATGTTAACATAAGTGTCACTAAGTTGCAGGATGTGCAGGACTAATTCTAAAAGCTAAGTGTATTAGGAGATAGGAAAAGTTTATATTCCATTTTTATTTTGCTGTTCTTTCAATTAATCTTAATATATGCATTAGAGTAAGAGACAATGGGAAATAGAACTTGTGAAGGGTTACGAACAGTGGATGATGTACTTGATAGACAGAAGTGAATAAGATGATGATTCAGTGAACTGAAAGCTGTCTGTAATGGGATATCATGCCTTTGAGTGCATGTTAGAAGAATGACCTTAATCTGGGATTGTGCACTTGCTGGCTGCTTGCTGGGAAGTCATCAGAAGACATTTATGGAATCAGGGTGGTTTTAATCTGCTGAGAAGACTCTTTTGGAAGCACCTTGTGTCCTGTCTCCACATCCAGAGAGACCTGGACCACTTGTACACTTCTCTCACACCGAACCTATCTGCTCACTTGTTATATGCACAAAGTAGATTTTGCTAGTGAACAGAAGCCAAACTGCTGTTCGTTTTATGCAATTATGCTTCCCTTTGATATTATACATTTCACATCTTTACTATGAATATCTTTTGAGTATTGCTGTAGAAAGCCTTTTAGGTTCCCTTGCCTATTTCTGTTGTTTCTGAGTTACTGATTAGTAATTCTTGCGACAGAAGTGTATGGTGACTGCAGATCAAATCTGCATTAAAGTTCACTTCCTTTTAGAACAAGCAACCAAGTCTAGCACGCAGGGTGTTATTCCCCTGTAGCCATGGGGTATATTTGTTGTTAACTGTGTAATCACAAGAAGGCAATAATGACATTCTACTTTCCCACTTAATTTTGACTTGATTAAGGTGAGCATTGTAGCCATTTAAAACCAAAAAAGTCTACTGTAATGTACCTTCATACTTGAGGCATACGAAGCCTTTTCCCTATGTTTTTAATTATAGTTGAAGAAGAAAAGATGAAAATTAGCTTATAGACCTTCTGCCAAAAAAAATATGGAATTGATTTTAATTTAGGTTAACCATGGAAACCTCAGCCAGCATTCTAGGCAGGGCTGTGCTGCAGTAAATGATACCTTTTTCTCACAACTATGGTTAAGTCATCTCTTGAATAAAAGTTTTCTTTTAAGAGCACTAAGACCATTTTTAGCTGCATTATTGTGTTGTGAGTGAGATGGGTTTATGATGTTTGTTGCATTCTGCCAGGCAAGATAATGATGCATAATCTGTTTTCAGATTGTTTTTAATTTCTGCATTGAAAATTTGTTTTTGAATTAGTACTTGAGAATCATTAAAGTGTACTTTTAAAAATCTAAGAGCAGAATTTTAAGATGGAGCAATGTGAAGGGAGACATTACTTGGTACGTAATTTAAATGATTCAGAAGTTGTAGGCCAAAGTATTTGCTAAAAATGTGGATCAGTGAGCCATAAGGCAAAGGTAAGTACTAGCTAGTCAAGGTTTGCCAGACTGCTGGAGTCAGCGCTCTGCCAGGATTCATGTGGCTATCATAAGTGGAAACTAGTAGTTGATCCAGACCAAATCCTTAAATCTGCATGACAACCAGCTGGAGGAGGGTGACATTTTTAAATACAAAAATCTACACTGATGCCAATAACTGTAAGAAAACATCGCTGTTTTCTCATCAGGAGCTTTGCTGCTACAGTGGTAAAAAATAGATTAACAACAAGTAATAGTGAACTGGTAAAAGTAAGAATAAAAATGTAGTATGGAAGTTAATATAACGTGACAGTGCAAATTCCTTGTATCCCTCTTGAAGCAGAAGGGAGTTGCCTGAGCTTCTTTTCTTTTTGCTCATCTATCCTTCCCCTTTCTCCTCTCCTAGTTCATCCACAGGCTATGATTATTCTTTTCACGTGTAGAATTTGCCTGTTTCACTAAGCTGTTGGCTTCATCTTTATTTTGTTAAATCTGTAAAGCTTGAGGCCTACCTGTGGCATTAAAGAAATAAAATACAACTGCCAGATAGGAAGGCCCCTATTTTCTGCATCTGGTTCAGCTGTGGTCTGGGATGGCTGATGTACTCCCGCATCAGCTGTTCTCTCCGGTCTCTTGTTAGGGGACACAGTACTGGCAAGAAAAGTGTCCATATATTGCTCTATCAAAAGGTCTATCCAAATTTGATACAAGAAGCCCTCCAGAGGTTCCTTCCAACCTCAACCATCCTGTAATTCTCTGAATTCTGGGTCAGGCCCTCAGCCAGCATAAACCAGTGTACTTCC